TATATATATATATACATATATATATACATACACGATTCATAAATTTCTAACTACAAGACAAGTCAATTTGCTTTATTTAAATGGAAACAATAATACAAAAATTAGAACTTGAGCAATGTACAATGAACAAATAAATCAGAAAAAACTAGCAAGAAATTTAAACAACATAAATCAACAAGCAATTATACAATTATAATTTGATCATCGCAAATAGTGTCCAAGCGGTGTCAAATTTGAAAAAGCTCTTAATCATTAGAAAGCCAATAGCCAAAAAAATGAGGAAAACTTAATAAAAAAAATAAAATATTAAATTTTTTATAAAAAAAAATTATGTTACAATGGGTGGATAACTTCCCACAAAATTTGATATTCACTTACGCAGCACTTGAAGGAATCACGCATTCAGTTTACACACAAAAGATTAAAAATTGAAAGAAGAAACTTAATCAAAATTATATAATAATAATCAAAGAACGTCTATTTCTAGGCTCCTCATCCCTGGGATATTAAGATATAGTTAACACATGATCAACTCTATCAAACTTCATTAAATCTAAAAGATATAAATCAAATTCAGCCTAAATTTTAAATATCATATATATTATTATACATTACAATAGAATAAGTTAAGCATAAATTTTAAATATCATATATATTATTATAGATTAGAATTAAACAAGTTAAATAAAGTCAGGTAAACATTATTAAGACTAGAGATATCCAACAAATTGAATATTTAACCTCATTTACACACCTTGAAATTGAGGATATCCAAGAATCAAATCAATTTAATTCTAATGTGCTCCAAATGGTCCCATCAACCTCACATTTTAATACGCAAATATTCTCAATAGAAGTCGTTGAAAAGGTAAAAGCACAATTAATTTATTACCAAGTTTAAATTTCCTGTATCTTCTGTTCACATCAGAATAAAACTTAAAAATTTCATAAATAATAGCAAGTTTCCATGAACATCCCATATAAACCATAGATATTTGATAATTGTGCAAATAAACTAGAATTAGACTCAATAAAAAGATTGATAAGATTTTTTAGTTCTCCAGATTAAAACCCTACACATATCTCAAATGGACTCATGCTTTTAGACATATTAATAAATAAATTATATGCAAACCTAGCCTTATTCAAATAACTTAAAATTAAAAAACATTATTAAGACTTGAGGATATCCAACAAACTGATTATTTAACCTCATTTACACATCTTGAAAATGAGGATATCCAAGAATCAAATCAATCAAATTCTAATGTGCTTTTAGACAAAGTAATTTCCCTACTAGTTTATAGGAGATAAGCAGTTAAAATTTTATTTATTATTAATTTTTTAAAAGATAAGTAATAAGAAATTAAGGTGGGGAGGCTTTAGCATAAAAAAACCCAAAATGTACACCAAAGGTGAATCAGTCGTGGCATGGCCAATTTCTTTTATTTCCAATCATTAGCTATAATTGTTAAACACGTTAAGGCAATGATTGATTAACATTAGTTTGAATTTTTTATTGTGCTTTTTTTTGTAGTTTTTTTTTTCTTTTGTTCAAATCATTTTTTCCCTAAGTCTTAGAAGTTTTGTTTAAAACTTTTTTTTTTAATTTCATTACTAGTATACTTTTTTACTCAATGTGAAAATAAATTGAATTTCCTGCAGCTTTTATAAAAACAGTTTGATGAAGAAATGTAATAATAAACACATTTTTATTCTACCTTCTTTGCATAAGCATCTTTGTTTTGACAGTGTTTGTGAGAAATTTTGTTTTGACAGTGTTTGTGAGAAATTCATCATATTGCCTATAATTTTAATATTACAGAAGATGACAAAAATGAGGATTAACCAAGTATTTTCCTATTTCAATTGGATTACATCAAAAATCGGTTTTAAGCCCATTTATTTTGCCTTTAGTTATGGATGTTGACGTTTGTTGGAGGATTTACCTTGGTGTATGCTTTTCGTTGATGATATTCGTCTTGTGTATAAGACTAGAGAGAGAGCACAAGAAAATCTTGAATTATGGAGGTCAACTTTTTAGTCTAAAGACTTTCATTTAAGTAGATCTAAAATTGAATACATGGAATATAATTTTAGTAGAGTAAATATTGCGGCGGAGTTAAAATAATGTAATTTTAGTAGAGTAAAACTAGTGGCAGAGTTATAACAATGGGTGATCAAGTCAATAAAAGGAGTGAACGTTTTAGATATCTCGAGTCTATTGTTAAAAGTAATGGTGATATAGATGAGGATGTTATCCATAGAATTAAAGTTGGATGGCTGGAGTGGAGGAATGCATCAGGTCTATTGTGCGATAAAAAAGCACCATTAAGAAAATTTTATAAAATGGTGTTAATACTTACAATGCTTTATGGCGCAATGTTGGTACGTGAAAAAGAAGCATAAAAGTTAAGTGTCACTGAGATGAGAATGCTAAGGTGGATGAGCGGCTTTACAGACAAAATGCCAAGCGAACATAGAGACAAAATGTGAAATGAATATATCTATGAAGAGGTTAGAGTAGCTTCAGTGACAAACAAGATTAGAGAGTCAATTTAGATGGTTTGACCACATTAAACATCGACCATCTTAAGACTCAATTAGGAGAGTCGATGTTTTAGAATTGACTTATCATAAGAAAGGTAAAATTAGACCTAAAAAGTTTTGAGCATGTTGTATAAAAAATGATCTAAATTTATTAGACTTAAAAAAAATATATATGACACTCAATAGCACTAAATGGAGAAAAAGGATTCATGGAGCCAGCCCAATTTAGTGGGATAAAGGCTTGTCGATGTTTGTAGATGATGGCAAAATGTTTTTTTCTATGTGATTGACCTACAATGAAAAATCAATTGTCAGCAGAACTGACAATAATTGTCCAAGAGAGTCATGAGTTTGAAGAACCAGTGCCAGACACGAGACAAACTCAAATAAAAAACTTTTAAGATTTTCAGACAAACAATCTATAGCTCCTACGTAGCCACTAATGAGGGAAGTCCCACATATCAAAGATGAAAAGCTTAAGTTATTTCTAAAAAGCTATATGAAGTAATTTGCATATTAAGTTCCAATTCAGTTCAACTGTGCACCTAGGGCTGTCAAAAAAGCTTGTTGTTCCTGAACAACTCGTGTTCGGTTCGTTCGTTAAGTAAACGAGTTGAACACGAACAATTTATTAAAGCTCGAATTGCAAACGAGCTGAACATAAGCAGCTCTTCGTTCGTTCATGTTCGGCTTGTTTTAGCTTGAAATAAAAAAAATTATATAATTATTTATATAATATGTTAAATATATTATTTATATAAGAATATATTATATATATTTATATCTAAGTTTAAATCGTAACAACTCGTGTAGTAATGTGATTAGTGTACTCTTTTGCATACATTTGGTTCAGGTTCGAATTCAACACTTTACATCTATTTTTTTCAATTTAATTTTAACGAGCCAATTTCAACCGAACATGAACACACTGTTCACGAGCCGATTTCAAACATGAATTGTTTTGAACAAACCGAACACGAGACAAGCCTGAACTCGCTCAAGATCGGCTCGTTTACAATCGTAAGTGCACCCACCAACATATGGTCAAACAAGAGTGATGAATTGCAATTATGAAAATCTTAAATATTTTTTCGGAAAAAATATTAGACTGCGGGACCCAAGTTCAACAAAAAAAAGAAACATCTCATATCCAAAGAGAATGATGCGAGAGTTTTACCATTTCCATAAAATCCTGCAAAATTGCAGAATAGCCCAATCTCGCGATCCTCACAGGACTTCTGAACTGAAAATTGGATTTTGAGATCATGTGGATTTTGAAATCATGTGGATTTTTTACTTTTTCTTCTTTTGATTTATTTTCTAATTATAATACTTTTTTAGGAAACTTTTTGGCATTGTTATTGTGTTTGGAGACGCAATTTTCTATGTTATGCTCTTGAGAGTGTTATATTACTTATTGCAAGTGGTGTGTCGATATATTACTTACAGGCAGTGTGTCGGCCGTTAAATCGAAAAAAAATATGATTTATATATAGTTTTGAAATGTAATTGTTTAATTTTGAAAATACGAGACCGAACCGATCACATATAAATGATAGTTTAAATAAACGAGCACAACACTACAAGTGACATACCTATCCCAAGATATACACATATCATTAATCCTTGAGGCTCGATCAATTAAACTAAAAAATTTATGACATTCATTTTAGTCTGCAAACATTTATGTTGATCGACAAGTTTCTCTACCTAATATTAATAATTAGATAGAGTTTATATTACCTGGGTTCTTAAAGCTCCATATAGAGGCAAACACTTATAATTAATTACCTCTCAAATGACTGAAGTCACTTAAGAGAACTCTCGATGATGATCAGAGGTATCAATCTTCATGAATTCAAAGTTTAGGGTTTCCAAGGTTGAACATAGAAAAGTCTAGTGAAGAAAGGAATCAAATGGGAACAATTATTTCTGGAGTCAAAGGAAAGAAAAGTAGGGGGTGTCACGAATCCTAAGGGAAACATCGGTGACTTCCCAACTATCCTATTGTTTTGACTTCAATTTTGAAATGTTATTCGATGTTTCATCCTACCAATTGTATTATTTAGGGTTTATATTTACGTGACACGGTCAAACAAATGACCTAGAAGATATGAGGGTTTACGTCGTATCAGACGACAATCTCGAAACCTAAAGCGAGTTAGGGCTTAGAGTGCACAACTTGAT